TTTCCAAAACATATTGCCTTATAACTTCCTTTTTAATTGTTTTGCGACTATAGTTTCGAAATTGAGGATTTAAAGTACCTTGAGCATATTCTTTTAAAGCAAGACTTTCAGAAAAAATAAAGGAAAAATTCACATGAATAATCTGAACTATTAGCAGTCTTCCAATATTAATCCCAAGTATCCATAATTCTAAAATAATCTGAAATTTATAGTCAGTCTTCTCTGATTGATCCAAGTTACCTGCAACTTAGACAACCTGAAAAAAAAAGTAAGTGGGCACCACTAGACCAGGCTATTATTTTCTTCGACCACCTCCATTCTTTTCTCCGATTAGTTGTTGCCTTCCTCCCTGACTTGTCCTTAACGTTTCTTTCTTTTCTTCCTCCACCCACACAAATTTCTGCTCACCTTCGATTTCATTCTCAAATTTGTATGTCACCCTTTCATTTTCACATTTGAAAGATTGGATTTGGTCAATCCAAATTCTAATTTGACACTATTCATCACGTTCAATGAATAAAAATGAACGATGGAAGGCCAAAGATGGAGAATAATCCAGCTTATAAAAACAGGGCGAAATGACGATGAACATATGGGAACGACGGAGGCCTGATGGTGAAAAACAACTAAAATCGATTGATGGATGGTGATGAAGAACTGATAAGATGGAAGCGCACCGGTGATGCCTGGGACATACGGTCGACGGTTGCTTATCTTGCTTACTTGGGTGGCGACACTGGAACAGGGATAGGTGGCGACGCTGGAACTTGGGTGGGGACACTTGGACGCCTACAGGAAACGAAAAGGAAGATAGAAAGAAAAATTGAAACAAAGAGGAAAAAGAAAAGAAAAGAAAAAAGAAAAAATGAAAACCAATAAAAATAGGCCACATGTCTTAGTTACCTGCTAAATGGGTCAATGTAGGTCACCGGTGCATTCTAAGAAGAGCCTTGTTATAATTCAGATTATTTTAGAATTATGCATATGTAGGATTAATATTGGAAGACGGTTGATAGTTGGGATTATTTATGTGAATTTTTCCAAAAATAAAAGGCAAATTTTCTTCAACAATCAAATGAGACATACCAGTCAAATGTCTTTGATCATCATAGGAGAAATTACCGAAGGGTTGGCCAGTCGCAAACCTTGAAATTTGTGTTTGCTTTCCCTTGCCTTTGGCTGATTTCTCATATTCCGCCACGTGCTTGGCCTTAAGATGCCTTGTGGCGCTCCGTACCCTCCAGAAGTTCCCAAGTTATACTTTTTTGGGCAATGCTTGCAAGTTGCGTACCATATCTCGGTTGCGGGGTCTTTAAATTTTGTAAAATTTAACTTAAAGACAGATTCACCTTTCTCACCGCCTTGGGAAGAAGTAGCCACTTCCGCTTGCTCTTCATCATCGTCCGGTGTGGCATCACTCCCATGAACCTCGTGCTCGCCGGTTTGCGGATCCATCTCCTCCGCATCATCATCCTCAAGCTCGTCTTCGTCAATGGTCGGGATGTGTTGTTGATGGAAAAATGCCCCTTGATTTTGTTGCAATAGTTGTTGTAATTGCTCATCGGACATTGCATCCCCATATCTTTGGTTATAATCCGCATCAAAATCATCTCGGGTTTGAGATGAAAACCTGGCCCGTCCTTTACCTTTGCGTGAGATTGGATGACTCCTCGCAATCTCCTTTGTTCGGTTGCGGCAGAGGTTACCCATATCTACAGAAGCTCTAGCACGTTCCATCTTAAAAATATAACAAATATTAAATTCGAAGTACAATTAAACTAGTGAATTTGAAATACAAATCTAACAATTCGAAATACAATTAAATTCGAAGTATGCAACTACAATGTAATAAAAGTAACTAGAATTAAATTAAATTAACAAGTTTAACAAATAATTAAATTAACAAGTTAAGAAATAACTAAATTCGAACAATTAAATTAACTAGAATGTAACAATGCAATAAAATTCGAACTATTTGTTAACAAATAATAAATAAATAAAAATTTAACAAGTTTAACTAGTTTTATTATAAAATTCGAACTATTTGTTAACAAATAATAAATAAATAAAAATTTAACAAGTTTAACTAGTTTTATTATAAAATTCGAACAACTTTAATATAATTAACAATTAACTAGTTTTATAGGAGAATAATAAATGTAACAATTAACTAGTTTGATAGGAGAATAATAAATGTAACAATGCAATAAAATTTATAGGAGAATAATAAATGTAACAATTAACTAGTTTTATAGGAGAATAAGAAATGTAACAATTAACTAGTATTATAGGAGAATATAAAATGTAACAATTAACTAGTTTTATAGGAGAATAATAAATGCAACAATTAACTAGTTTTATATGAGAATAATAAATGTAACAATTAACTAGTTTGCCAAGTAAACAAATAATTTCGAATTATTGTCTAACAATTTTTAATGTAACTATTTCAAATAAACTAACAACTAACAATTAACTACTTTTATAGCAATGAACTAATACTAAAATGATAAGTAAAACAATTAACTACTTTTATATTAATAATAAATGTATGAGTGTGTAAACAAAATTAATGGGAGTGTGAGAGTGTATAAGCAATTGGATAAGTGGATAATAAGTGTATAAGTATATATACTTAATATATATATTTATAAGTAGATAATAAGTAGATTAACTAGTAATATATAATATTATGTTTATAGTATATATAATATAAGTATATTACTATAAGATGAGTAATACACTTATATATAATACTTTAATATATATAAGTATTTATTAAGTATATTTAATATGTAAATATAAGTAAACAAAATTAATTAGAGTGTAAGAGTGTATAAGCAATTGGATAAGTAGATAATAAATGTATAAGTAGATATACTTAATATATATATTTATAAGTAGATAATAAGTAGATTAACTAGTAACATATAATATTATGTTTATAGTATATATAATATAAGTATATTACTATAAGATGAGTAATACACTTATATATAATACTTTAATATATATAAGTATATATTAAGTATATGTAATATGTAAATATAAGTAAATAAATTAGAGATAATTATATATGTAATATGTAAATATAAGTAAATAAATATAAGTAACAATAATATAATAATTAGGTATTAATATAAGTAGATAATAAGTAGATAATAAATTTTATAAATACAATATATGTAGTTATAAATTTGAGAAGATGAAGATGGAGAAGATTATTAGAGACTAGAGATTAGAGAGTAGGAATATTTGGAGAAGATGTGTAGTAAGTTGTATAGAAAAAATGGAGTATTTATAGATTTTTAGTACCCCACCCCACCCCCCACCCCCCCCCAACCCACCCCGGGACCCCCTGCCAGGCTCCCAACGGCTATAGAGCCGTTTGGGTTCAAAAGCAACGGCCATAAGGCCTGTTTGGCTGCAAAACGGGCCTGAACCGGCCGGGCCGGGCCGCCTTTTGGATGAACCGTACCCGAACCGCCCTACCCCCCGGGCCGGGTCAAAGCCCGAACCGGTTTTTTGGTACCTGGGCCGGGCCGGGCCCGCACAGTAGCGGGCCGGCCCGGCCCGGTTGAGTCCACCCCTATGTAGGATTGTGTTTGGGTTAATATGATACCATATTACGAGCCCGTTTGGTAACACTAAAATTGACTGAATTGGCTGATTCTGCTGAAATTTATGAAGTTCTGACTGAAGTGGCTGTATTGGCCGATTCTGCTGATTCATGAAAAAATTATATTTAAAATATTTGTTATTATTAAATTAAATAAAAAAATTATATGAAATAAGCTAAAATGATCCTCTATAGTAACTTCAGCCAATACAGTCAGAAAAGTAACTCCAACCTTACTTTTTCTGCGTATTACAAAATTCTGCGTGTGAAATCAAAAGTTATGTGTTTGGTGAAAAAGCTGACTAATAAGGCTGATAAACCGAAAAAGAGAGTCACCAAATGGCCTCTACGATAGAAAAAACTGAATTGAAGTTCTTGGAGAAGAAAGCTTGAAGAAGATGATCTGAGTTGTAGGTTCAGAGAAGAGAATGATCGATTAAAACATCTGTATGAGTTCAACGGTCTATATATCTATATTACAATTATATTCTAGAGAAATCATCTCATCAGGCCGGCCTGACGGGCTGCCCCGTTCGGCCGAGCCCGTTTGGGCACCTTCCCGGTGGAATTTTTTGATGAAATGTTTTGAGCATGTTCCTCATCAAGTCTAGTTTGTCCATACCAAATTTCAGCTCAAAATTCGATCGGGAAGGTCGTCAAATGATTTTTGCAAGTTAACTGGTCCGGAAAATACATATTCCGGACCAGTTAACTTGCAAAAATCATTTGACGACCTTCCCGATCGAATTTTGAGCTGAAATTTGGTATGGACAAACTAGACTTGATGAGGAACATGCTCAAAAAATTTCATCAAAAAATTCCACCGGGAAGGTGCCCAAACGGGCTCGGCCGAACGGGGCAGCCCGTCAGGCCGGCCTGATGAGATGATTTCTCTTATATTCTATACTAATACTATTTAATAAGGCCCAATAAACTAAAGCCCAATATGATGAAGAACCAGTCCAGCAGTTTAATCTTGATAATCTACTATTCCTTTTGTCCTTAAATAAACTTCCAACTTTCCTTTTTAGTTTATCCCAATTAAAACTTCCACTTTCCCTTTTTAGTAAATAATTTGTGGTTCATAACATTTCTTACATATTTCTGTTTGCTCTGCATAACTCTCCACCACAACATTACACATTGATGTAAGCTGTATGGCATGGCATGTGAACGAGCACCTAGAAGATCCATACCTGAGGTCTGAACCTTTTTTGGGATCGAGCTATGGCTTTCAGTCTTAGCGAGTCCCCCACAATCTATTTACAGTGTAAGAAGTCAGAAATTACAAGACTATACTTCAAGAAAATGCAAATCGTCCCAAATTGGCCACTAATGTCAAAAGGCCAAATAGATTGATTTCTTTCTTTTAAAATCAGCCAAAATTCATCCACTTAGGATGTTTTCTGTTCCAGATCAGACCTGACCAGACTTCCGTAGTTATAAAATACATAGAGACCAAACATTTATCAGACCAGTTCAGACCAGACAGCAAATTGAATGTTAGAGTAGAGAAATCATCATGTCAGGCCGGCCTGACCGGGAGAGCCGTCTGGCCGAGCCCTTTTGGCGATCTTCCCAGTGGAATTTTTTGATGAAATTTTTTGATCATGTTCCTCATCAAGTCTAGTTTGTCCATACCAAATTTCAGCTCAAAATTCGATTGGGAAGGCATTCAAATCTTTTTTTGAAGTTGACTGCGTTTTTATATGTATATTTTGCCGCAGTCAACTTCAAAAAAAGATTTGAATGTCTTCCCGATCGAATTTTGAGTTAAAATTTGGTATGGACAAATTAGACTTGATTAGGAACATGCTCAAAAAATTTTATCAAAAAAATCCACCGGGAAGGTGCCCAAACGGGCTCAGCCGGACGGAGGTTCGTGTGAGGCCGGCCTGACAACAAGAGTTCTGTGTTAAAGTACATCCACACTTTTATTACTTGTATTAATTAATTAAATGTAACCACAAACAGAAATCTTAAATCACAATCACAAAAACCATTTATATTACATAATTACTTAGCATCATAACAATGATAACATTACTGATCTTACACACTAAGCTTCTTCATCTCCCTCCTAAGGGCATTGGCCCTGACCAAACTCCCAATAGTATTTACAGCAAGCTTCAAGTCTTCAATGGGGTTTCCGGGCGCCACCTTCTTGTACAGATAGCTATCAAACGTCATCTTCTGCACATACTCGTCGGCGCACAGCTCCACGAACGCCTCCCTCGCCGGATTCGACCGGTAAAACACCTTCTGCAAGATGTCCAGCACTTTGTACGTGGGCCAGTAAGTCTTGTCCCATTTCTCCAAGTACTTTCTGAGATCTGATTCCTCCACCATTCTTTTCCCTCTGCTAGATCCCTCCACGATTGCTTCCGCGCACATCCGCCCGCTCTTCGCCGCGAAGTAGATCCCCTCGCCGGAGCACTTGGTGACATACCCGGCAGCGTCGCCGACGAGCGCGACTCTGTCCTGGATCCGGCGAGGACGCGGGTGTTCCGGGATTGGGTGGGCTTCCACGCGGATGATCTTTCCGCCGCTGATTTTGGACTCCGCGCGTTGGCGCGTGGCCAGCTGGAATTTCTTGATGTCCTGCTTGTGGGTCACCGTGCCGGTGCCGACGGCGACGTGGTCGCATTTGGGGAAGACCCAGCCGTAGAAATCGGGGGAGACGTCGTCGCCGACGTACATCTCGGCGAGGTCCTCGTAGTACTTCATTTTGTCGTCGGAGATGCGGATCCGTTCTTGGAAGGCGATGGCATACTCGTAGTCGCCGGCATCGATGGATTTCGCCACTCGGGAGTTCGCGCCGTCGGCTCCGATGACCGCATCGACCTCCAGGGTCTTCTTCTCGCCGGCGCCGCCGACCTTGGAGTCGTAGGCAGAGTAGTGGAGGACGTAGGGGGCGGCCGTTGACTTCGGCAGATCCATTTTCAGAAACAAGCCGTTGATCACGGAGGCTCCGGCGGCGGCAGCCCGCTCGCGGAGGAAGGCGTCGAGCACCTCACGGCGGACCATACCGATATACTCGTGGGGCTTGAGTGTGCGGCCGATATCGACGGCGACATTCGACGGCGAAATCATCTTCATTTTGGTGACTCGGCGGTCAATCAGATCCAGCGGGATGTCAAACTCACCGACCATACAGAGTGGGATGGCCCCACCACAAGGCTTGCAGTTGTCCATCTTCCGTTCAATCAAGAACGTCTCTACACCGCCCCTGGCTAACGTTTCAGCGGCGGAGCCACCGGCTGGGCCACCACCGACGACCGCGACCCGAAGATTCCGACCGGTGACTCGCGGGCTGCTGTTGGATGCATTTATGCGGAGGACCCTGCGACGGGAGTGGGTTTTGGGGAGCGGATTAGAGAGGGTGGCGATGGAGGAGTTCTCCGGCGAGAGATGACGGAATCCGGTGAAGGGTTTGAGAGTAATGGAAGCCATTTTTGGAAGTGAAGTGATGTGAAAATTTTGGTTGATTTTATTAATCTTTTTTGCGAAGCTATGAGAAAACGGCGACGGTTGGATGTTTTGAGATGGGCGGTCAAGATGGACTTGGATGATGCGAAGCGAGTGGTTTGTGTTTTGCCACGTTCTTCAACAGTTGGGTAGGCATTTTTGGACAAGGATAATACGGAGTACAATGGACCATTATTGTAAGAACTATTGAGATCGCGACTGTTCTAAAGTACTACTCCCTCCTTATTATATCTTCCAAATAAGTTTGACACAGAGTTTAAGATAGTGAGTATTGTGTGTTGGAAAGTTGTGCAGAGGAGAGAGAAATGTGTAAGAATTGCTGTGAACCACAAATTCTGGCCAAAAAAGGAAAGTGAAAGTTTTAATTGGGACGGACGAAAAAGGAAAATTGGAAGTTTATTTAGGGACGGAGTAAGTAGTTTGCAAAGAAAATTTGACTTTTCATGTGAAAAGATTATATGAAAAATAAATAAAAATGATTCTTGAAAGTAACTTCATCCTATTTTTTTAGAAAAATAACTCAAACTGTAATTGGATCTTTTTTTATATTATTGAAATTGGTGAAGGTTGTCCTAAGCGAATGAATCCGCTGAATTGTGGGGTAAAAATTTATAATGATTTTCTGCAATAAGTTTAGCTAATTTAGCCGAAGAGTAACTCCGAATTTATTTATTTTGATTATTACAAAATTCAAAATGCATTATAAAAAATTGTGTGTTTGGTGATAAAATTGGTTAATAGGCCAAAAAGAGGACATTGATTTTATTTTGTAATACAAAATACAAATGTCATGTTTGGTGAGAAAAATGGTAAATAAAGCTAATAAGGTGAAAAAATATAACCATCAAACGAGTTCTTCATCATCTTCCATCTTCGTCACCTCTCATTTTCACGATGTTCCATATTCATCACCTCTTATCTTCATCATTTTCATTTTATTCATCTTCCATCTTCATCATATCATGATCTTGTGCCTTTCATTTTACATACTTCTTCATTGCCTTTCAAGATTGGAAACAACAATTGGATTTAGAGTCACTAATAATGTCATCAAAATTATCGAGTGTCACCCATTCCTAAATTTTGATAAACTTTTTTGTGCGGAGAAATTTGACTGAATGCTATTGAAAAGAAATCATACTTTGCTAATTTACTAGCAAGACATGTTTGGCCCAAAATGAATCTTGAGTTTTCCATTTCTTGAAGGAAATATTTTTTGAATATCAAACAGGGTTCTAATTCGCATACCCATTCAATGGGGATGCACATATTATGCCATTTAAGCCCATAAAATAGGAATTTCATGTAATCCTTTCCAAAAAGTAACTCAAATCTTAATTGGATTTTGTTTGACAATACGGAACGCCATTACACGAATACAGGTACGATGATATGACAACTTAAAAAATTATAGGATACGGGTAAGAGGTATATTTTTAAATAATAATAATATACGACATACTTGGCAAATATATTCGGAGTATAATACAGAGGTTCATAAATAAAATAATAATAGTAGCAAAAGTTTACAATTATAATAGAATTTCAAAAATTAGACTAAATAATATAAAGTAGGAATTTTATTAATTCAGGACCCGAAAGATAGACGAATTATCAATTCGGAACCTGAAAGATGAAATATATAAGTACAGGACCCGAATGATGGAAAACTATCAATCTAGGGCTCGAATGATTGAAAACTATCAACTTAGGACCTACATTTTCATAAATTTTATTACTTTTTTATTTTTTAAAAATTTAAATAGTGTTTAGTTTTATTAAACTAATAAACTTTTGTGAAGAAAGATTCACCAAATATTAGAAATGATATAAATAAAAAAATTAAACAAATCAAACTCTATGAAATGTTAGGTCCTAGATTGATAGTTTTTCGAGTCCTATACTAATACATTTCATCTTTCAGATCCTGAATTGATAATTCATCTATCTTTCGGGGTTCGAATTGATAAAATACCTAAAAAGTAATAATAGTTTGATTTGAATTCAAATAATATGTTTGATTCATTATTTGCATTTACATCTAAGTCTTTTTGCAAGATTGGTTTCTAATAAAACTCATTAAGCGATAAATTGGAAAATTATAGTATTTCGAATTATCTTTGCCAATGTTCCATATTGCTTGAGCGGTTACTAAATTTACTTCATGTCCTATATGAAATCAAATTTATAGAGTTATATGCGTGTATCAGTGTATGTGCTTACGGTCTTACGGATACCAATATGAGAATTATTTGTATTTTTAAAAAGCAAGTCCGATTTTTTTTTATTAAATTATTAATATGGAACCAAAGAGTATACGTATCTCATATAGGTTTTGTTTGCAAACTCTAGAAAAAAAGCTTCCCAGCTTTTAGCTTAAAAAACACTTACTTTATTGAACACTATCAACTTTGTAAAAAGTTGATATAAAAAAGTTTTTTTTTACACTTTGTATTATATAAAAAAGCACTTATTTTAACTCCAACTTCTCCAATTCTATATGAGCTAACCAAGTAACCCGTAACCACTTCTGATGTGCTCCGGGCCTCCGGCCATCAGTTAATCGATATCTCTCTTCCATAGATATCGATTAACTTTTCTCATAACTAATAAAGCGATAGATATTCAAGGCCCGATGAACCAATGGCGGTCGCCTTAAAGCTGCAAGAAAGAAGTGCACGCCGCTAGTCCCGATTTGGATAAATTCAGGGGGGAAAGCCCAATTCAGCATAGCGCCAGACCGAGTGTTATCCCGAGTTTACTATGGCTCTGTTTCGAAGCACAAACGGTCAGCTTCCATTAATGAATCTCGTGAGGCTAAAAGGTAAGCCCATTTTGGAACAGTTGTATTTAGAGGAGCGGTTGTTAAGGACTTCTTCGGACAATTGGTGTATCATTAATGATGGGACAGATCAACCCACCGTAGTTATGGGTGTTTCTGGGTACGTTGGATAGAAATTTTGTTCCTGTGTACATTTACTCGATCTTTTCTTTTCTATTTTCTCTCTGAATATACACTGGCTTTTCTTGTTCTATGTATATTTTGTATTAGCTCATTAGTTTTATTGAATTAATGTGAGGAATTGGTGTGAATTCTTGTTAAATTAGTCTACACTTGATCTGTTTCCCGAACATAAAAGAAAGAATTTGAAAGAAAAATGCTACTGAAAATAGAGTTATTAAAACAAAAATGGCTGTGAAAAGGAATTGGGGAAGTGTTTTCTTAAGTGCCTTACAGATGTTCATTCAGTTACTTGAAGAAGTGGGCTGTCCAAAAACGCATTTTGCAGCACACAATCATAGTTTTGGTCATGGTCCAAGAATTCATGCAGTTTTGTATCTGTGAAGATATTCCTCTTAAGTTCTGAATCTTCTGCTTACAGATATCATCGCTGTTGTTGTAAATCAAAACATTACTATAGATTTACATTTTCAAATTATTGCTCCCAAATGCTAAGTTGAGATCATGCTCTATGAGTTACTGTAGTCTGCTGCCAGTTAACTGTTTTACTTAGTTTAGCTCAAAGGTATTTCTTTTAAGTTTGATTGGCTTTTCAAAATGATACAAGTACTTCATTAGTTTCTAAATATGATGATAAGTGGAAAATGTCAACTAATGAAGAATTTCAGGACAGTGTAACTTGAAAGTAAACCTTTTTGACAGGAAGCCTACTGAACTTATTGAAGTTAATTCTGTTTTACAAGATAAGGTTCCTGTCATCAAAAGGTTCACTGGTGGAGGGACTGTAATTGTTGATCCTGGGACTATATTTGCAACCTTCATATGTAATAAGGATGCTGTTCCGCACGTGAAACCTTATCCCCAACCTATCATGAGCTGGAGCGGCTTATTGTATGGAAATGTGTTTCAAGGAATTGGAGAATTTGCTCTTCGTGAAAACGGTGGGTATGATACTGCCTGTAATCTTGTTTCATTCCGTCCAAAAATAAAAAGTTTCTATGTTATCCTATTTTAGTTGTCCCAAAATAAGGTTCTTGTCTGCTTTTTAAGGAATGAATTGTGTGATCCATACTATTTCTGTAACCTCTACGAAATTTCAAACCACACAATTTATTGTTCCTAATATAGGCGTGCCAAGTCAAACCACAAATTATATTTTGGGAAAGATGGAGTATATGATATATGTATTTGTCATTTTAAAAAGTTGTACAGTCCCACACAGGCATTTTAAAAAATACTCCCTCATGCCTCAACTTTAAAGAGTTGAGGTTTGTGCAATGGAAAAAGAAATAATATTAGCAACGAATTAATTACTTTAAAGAGGATGTGGCAAAGTATTTGGGACAATCAAGTAAGAAAAGTATTGTGAAGTCCTAGACTCCTAGTGGGGCGGAGGGAACATTACGCAATAATTGTTAAGTTCTGTCAGGCATTTTTTTCTCCACCAAGTCAATCCTTATACATAAAACAGCCACACTTACGTCATTTGTAATTCAATTTCTTCAGATTATGTATTTGGCAGCCACAAGTTTGGTGGAAATGCACAGTCGATCACAAAAAATAGATGGATTCATCATACATCTTTTCTATGGGATTATGCAATACATAACATGGGTTATCTCAAGCTTCCAAAACGAGCCCCTGACTATAGACAGGTGCTATGACTACAGCCAAACAAACTTTTCTTTTTGAGTTTCATAAATAAATGTTGGTATTCAGTCAATGTTGTTCAAGGCTCACATAAGATAGCAGCAATAAAAACGTTATTTGGTCCAATATTTGATTATCTATGTACATTAGCCCAATCAATTCTAAAATTGCAGTTCTTGTGAGCTTAAATAGCTAGCTTCGTTGGGAGGATTGGTTTTTTTACTAACATATGTCTATCATTCTATACGTAATCACAGGCAAGACAATAACTACATGGCTATATATTTTCTTTATTTAGTCAAATCATGTATTTCTTTATGATTTTTCAGCATACTTAATCTCTAAGCATGTAACTGTAAAATATGATGTTTAAAAACAAATATCATCATTTTCCTTCCCTGTTCTCCAAAATCCCCTAACCAAACACGGGGCCTAAATGTTACTCTTTTTTTTACTGGTTGTCCATTTGCTTATGAGAAAAGGGTCAAATAAGACCTTATACTATTGTGGAATCGTCACATAAGGTCATGTACTAAATAAAATGCCATATAAATACGTTTACTTACAAAAAAAAAATCGGATGAGTCAAAATGACCCGTTGATAACATCATAATCCCAATTTTAGCTTACGTGTCGGTAGGGACGGAACCATATATAGAGTTGTGGTGTCAATTGACACCACTGAATTTTTTTTCCCATACATATGTATATACAATTTTTTAAAATTAAAAATTGACACCACTGGAAAAATTAATCTACATATAGATATATGTAATCTTTCAAAAATTTAAAATTGACACCATCATTTAAAAAATAGAAATTGCTCACTATAGGACCAAAGCATACATAAAGTTTAAAAATAGGACTAAATATGTTTTATTCCACAAATAAGACCCATTTAGTCTTTTTAAAAGATTAATTTGATTAAAAGTTCTTAAAATATAAGTTATTGAGTCCTATTTTGGAAATAAGACATTGGTACTTGGTAGTACTATTTATGAATTTTATCCATGTTTTAGTCCTATATAGAGAATTTTCTCAAAAATTTTGAACGGCACAACTCTTACTCCAATAGTCCAACTCCAAATCTCTGCAAGAAGGAACGACAGAGTCACAGAAGTACTAATCGCACAATCGAATGGAAGATGTTTTAATGAATGATGCCTTAATTACTTTTATTGAAAAAGATATATCTATAAGTGTTAACAAAGGAAAAGTGCACAAAATTTTCAACATATGAAAATGCATCGCGAGTAGTTGTGAATTAACACTAATTTTACGAATGACAATTTTGCTATTTTGCTTTATAGAGGTATGACTGTATGAGGAGGGAATGATCTGGTCAGTTCGGACTGACAGAAACCGCCGTCCTGCCAAGCCTGGTTGAGGGATTTTCGTGTCGAATGCATTGACAACATTTTGCGAGCAGGTTCTTCGTGAAGCGTAGAACATCTCCGCAAAATTTTATCTAAAATTTCGACATGGAAGTCAATTATATAAATTATTCAAAAACATGGCGCCATATATACATAAAGAATTGTGTTTCTCAATAATTTATTTGATTGGCTTATCGATTGAGATTTTTAATGTAATTTTGTGGCGATGTTCTAACTTTATAAAAACATGTTTAAAACCTAGATTAAAAAGTTTGATCCGGAAGGCCCTCAAATAGGCTTGGTCAGACGGCAAATCTCATTAGTCCAGACTGACCAAATCATTTCTATAGGTTTATATATGTTGGCATTATTATATAATACTACCTCCGTCCCCCTAAGTTTGGGACAAGAGAAGGTGGCACGGTTATTAATAAAAGTGGGTTTATGTAGTTGATATTGAATTGATAAAGTAAGAATAAAGTATGAATGCTTTAGAACCACACAAACTTTATCAAATAAGGTATGAGACAATGTTAGTGGGACGGACCGAAATGGTAAAATGGGACAATCATAGCGGGACGGAGGGAGTACTATTTTTCTCAATTGACACCACTGACATTCAATCATGGCTCTGTCTATGTGTGTCGGTATTGTTGCCTTGTATTTAAGCCAATCGTGATCAAATATTTCACGTCGGTCTTATAATCCATTTAAAAAAGATAGTCAGACATACGCTAAAATCGGAATTACGAGGTTGTCAACGAGTCATTTTGACTCATCCGATTGTTTTGTATAAGTAGACGTATTTATATGACACTTTATTGAGTACGTGACTTTATGTGACGATTTCGTAATAGTAGAAGGCCTTATTTGACCATTTTCTCTTTGTTTATTGGAAACTATGGCTTATTCATTTGTTTCATTTCCTTGTGTCTATTGGCTATTGCTTAGGATTGATATCTTTAGCTCAAACCTCTTCTCCCCCTCTTCAGGCAAGAGGACATTTGGACTTCATATGCAGCATGAAGGACTACATATCCAGACCAGACTTTATCAGTAGGACCATAGATGCAGCCAAAATTTATTTTTCTGTGAGACAATTGGAACTGGAAGAAATAGAACACTCACTGAACATGAAATTTGCACCTACTTCTAGACTGGTTATGGCAGAAGAGTTGGAGGAGGCTGCCATTTTCCAACTTTCCAAGAACCCGATCTCTCAGTCACTGTGATTCTGAAACTTTCGTCATGTCATCTATTGATTGTCCATTGATTTTTAAGAACTTCACAGTAAGCCCAGGTGCGGAGAGCTGTCTGGTAAGTTTTTTAAGCATGTGAAATTTGTTTGTTGTGCTGCTCATGAACCTCTTGACAGGTGTTAGAGCTAAAGGTTATAGAATACCAGTCATGAGAAACTGCATATAGTGACCACAAACTATGTGGTACACCCGTTTTGCCATGGTGAGTGGGAGGACAGTTTTTTGAAATTTCAGTGTTGAGTTCTTATTAATGAGCTTTTTAAGTTCAGTTATGATATCAATCTACAACTTGGTCACAAAAGTTAAGAATTCGGGGCATTTTTTCTCATTATTACCCTTCAAGCTACACTGATTGTAAGTTTGTAACTGGGAAAATTAAAGTCACACAGTAATAATCTAGAGTGATGTCTTCTACCTTACATGGAGATCCCAAATTTGGTTGAGAATAGAGGGTTTTCATGTTTTGGTAGCCCACAATATTTTCTCTACCTTCTCCTTAATGTAGAACAAAGAGCACTACTTATGTGAATAACACTAACGTGAGAGTATCAGGACTCACGAGTATACAGCACTTTCAAATCATTAGGTGGGTTTTCTTTCATAAAGTTTATTGTAAACGTTAACATGCTTTGTAAGGAGCATCTTGATGATTCGGATACATCAATCATCAATGTGTGTAATGCATACAAGTCATCGACATGCTCTATACTCCGTATTTTATTTGGGTTTCCTATAGCATACCAATCAAATCAATATAATAACCTTGGTGCACTAATGAATTACACATTAGAAAGTGGTGTGTTTATTAATAAAAATATGATCGTATTGAGTATTGACTATTGAGTTGATATAATGAATGACTTTTTTTTAATTATGAAGAATGACTTTGAATTATGAAAATATTATTACTAGATATGCTGTGAGACAACGAAACATTTTCAAAAGATTTACGGTAGGGTATAAAATGATTTGCAAGTAATTGATTTGCGTATTTTAAAACTGAATTTAGTTTTTAATTGACAACTATCACTATGCAATTAGGGGTGAACCATTTCAGTTTTGGGCCGATTCTGCCTTCCCGTTTTTATATAGGAGTCCTAATTCGGGAGTATCGGGACCTATAATGTTCCAGTCAGGTCCTGGATTTAATTATTTTATTTTATTTTTTATAAACACCCCCTTAACCTCCCCTTCCCCCCCCCCCCCCCAAAAAAAAAAAAAACTTTTCAATGGAACTAAAAAAAAAAACACTTTTCAATGAAACTCTACTCCTTTTTAGCTACGGAGTACTACGTACTTCCCAATGTAAATAATGGAAAGCAAATGGGACCGGATCAGGACCTAACTAGCCAATTCCAATCCCTAAGTTTGGCCACTTGGGAATTTTAATTTTGAGAAAAATTGCCTAAATAGGAGTAAAAATGTTTTGAAATTCCAAAATAGGAGTATCATGTTTTTTATTCCCTAAATAGGAGTAATTTATACCAATTTTGGAAATTACAAGGCTTTAAACATGGAATTTTTTCCAAATTTGGCAGATTACTCTTATTCAGGGAATAAAAAACATGATACTCCTATTTTGGAATTTCAAAACGTTTTTACTCCTATTTAGGGCAATTTCTGTTTAATTTTAGGTCCTGAAACCCCTTGAAGTTTTTCATTAAATAAATTGTTTTGAAACACTGCGCATTATATATATACAAAACACATTTGTTTTCAATAATTTAGACTTCATCAAGAACATGTTTACAAAATTTCAAAAAAAATTGTGGGCCCGTTTGGATAACAGCGGGGTCGCTGCTTTTAGCCGCGGGTAGGTGCGGATTGGACAGAAGTCTAAACGTAGTGATTCTTAATTTCCAAGAGTGACAAGGCGGCGTTCCAAAAGAATAAATACTCCCTCCGTCCCCTTTTAAATGTTCCGGAAGAGGGTGACACGAGTTTTAAGAAAAGTGGGTTTGTGTGGTTGATATTAATTGATAAAGTAATAATAAATTAAGAATGATTTTGAGTCACACAAACTTTATCAAATACGGTATGAGACAATTAAATAGGGACATCTCAATATGGTAGAACGGAGGGAGTAGTTAGTACCGTAATTTCTACCTTTATTAATGGTAGATTTACGCATATTGAAAGGGACATTCAAAAGGGGAGACATTGTACTTTGTACGTTACACATGCAACTTAAACATAGAAGTCCACTAACACAGTGTCACACTCATTAATTTATTCAACCTCATACGGAGTTCACAAACAAACAAGTGACAACAATTTCATACATCTCTCGAAAGTACCAAATAATTAAACAAATCACTAAAATACATCTCCCGTGTCCATAATTTCTGTCTCATTTTAATATCACGAACACAGATATTCGAACACTAACATAGATTGTTCAATTTTATGAGCCTAAAAACCTTGGTTTCAAAAAGGGGTATCAGATCATCGAGAGCCACTTTTAAAAAATAAGCCCTTCGATTCCCCCTTCTATTCAACTACGGACTAACCATTTATTTTATTTCATCCTTTTATATCTGTAGTAATAACTATTTATGGTAATTATATCATTTTGATTTAGTTAAGTGAATTGAGTGCCGAGGTAGGTTCGGCCGAAGTACCAGTCGGGGGGCACGGCATCATTGCACTCGACGGTGCGACCGTCACCGGTGGTTACCCTAAAGGATAGGGTCTGCCCGCCGAGGTAGGAGTTGCTCTCCCAATTCTGCCCCCAGTTCCTGGACATGGGCATCCAATTGGTCTTGGAGCCCTTGATGGACACTGCGTGGACATCACCCGATCCGCCAACATTGGTGATCAGGACTAAGTTGAAGTATGAGTGTCCGTTTACTGTGAACCTTATTCCTCCCTTCTTTTGGCAGGGTACCCTGCAAATAAATGAAACCAAACTCAGTTACTCAGCAATGTTTCAAAATTTAAAGTGCCTCGCCTATTAGCTCAATCCCAAAGTAAAGAGAGACTTAGGGCTGTTTGGAATTGATTGTGTTTATTTCTTTTTTTTTAAAGCAGAATCAATTTCTAAAAGAATTGCTTCTAGTAGCAATTTGGAGCACCCAAACGGCCAAAAGTACTTCTGTAGTATCACCCAAACACTTCAATATCTGCTTATGCTCTTTGAAAGAGTAGAAGCAGTTTTTCGGAAGTAGATTCAAACAATCCTTAGTTGCTATTGTAAATTGTACAACAACTTTTAAATACACCTCACACACAATTAGATCATGCATCAAAGAAATAAACAAAAATGAACAAAACTTAAAAGGTGGAGAATTAAACTGGGTACCTTCGGTAGGAGATAGGGACAATCCCAGATTTGTATTGAGCAATTTGTTGGAAAGTGGGCTGAGAGAGGTCAAAGTGGCGGAGGGGAGGGTTGCACCACCCACCTTGGTTGTTGGGGAGGTCCAAATTGGGAGGGCAGAAATTGGTGGCTGTGACCACTATTGAGGGGTTGCCTTCGAGGCAGCTGCCTGGTGCATTCACACATTTCAGCTCAAAGCAAGCTCCACAGCTGAGCCCATTGTTGAACAGAGCTGTACTCAGTGCTGCTGTGTTTGTACCATACCCTTCACTGTACAAATTCCCATACCCACAAGCTCCTCCTGTTTTCGCAGTACATCTAGTCATTAGTACTTTGTACTCCCTCTGTCCCAGAATTAACTTCGGTTTTGACTGGGCACGGAGATTAAGAAAGTGAGAAATGTGTGGTGGAGAGTTGTGCAGAGGAGAGAGAAATGTGTAAGAATGGTTGTGAACCACAAATCCTTTGCTAAAAAGGGAAAGAGGAGATAATTTTGGGACGGATCAAAAAGGAAAGAATGAAGATAATTATGGGACGGAGGGAGTAATTTTAAAACCAAAATTTCTTTTTGTACATACTTTTTTGTAAACACTTCCTAAACACGTCTGTGAGCAGACTATTTTTTGTATTTGTACATATTGTCATTAGCATGTTCACAGGCAAAACATTGTGACCAGGTTATTCACAAATACTCCTGTAAAAAATAGCTGCTCACAGACTTGTGTAAGAAGGCGTGTACAAATTATTATTTTCTTTTATATATATGTATATATAGAGGGATGATCCTGTCCAGCCGGAGGGACAGGATCTTCCGTCCGGCCACCGCCGTTTGGGGCGGTTCCCGGTGGAGTTTTTTGATAAGATTTGTATGAAATGTTCCTCATCAAGTCTAGTTTATCCACAAAAAATTTCAGTTAAAAATTCGATCAGGAAGGCAGTCAAATAATTTTTTGAAGATAACTGCTCCAACTTAAACATATAAAACGCAGTTATGTTTCAAAAAATTATTTGACTGCCTTCCCGATCGAATTTTTAGCTGAAATTTTTTGTGGATAAACTAGACTTGATGAGGAACATTCCATAAAAATTTCATCAAAAAATTCCACCGGGAACCGCCCTAAACGGCGGCGGCCGGACGGAGGATCCTGTTCCTCCGGCTGGACAGGATCTTTTCCGTGTATATATATAGATAAATGTAACATGTAGGTATACCCATCGTTCCAGAAGCATCGGAACCTCCGTAGAAGGTGGCATGCGCATCCGTCCAGCCACCAGCATCGCCGCCATGAACACGACATGGTGAAGTAAAACACAGAAAGCCCATCAGAACGTAAACCCAAGAATGACCCATTTCTCTTAGATCACCACCGCCGGCCCGGCCTATATTAATAAAATGCGAAACAAAATGGACCAATTAAAGGAAGGTTAGTTAGTTAATTACTACGTACTGTATTACTGTATTATTTAAGAATGCATGATTACCTAAGTAATTGAGATACAGACTGGCCTGAGCTCGATCAACAATGGTGCCGGTCTGAGTTTTTGCAGACCGTCAGAGCAGAGATTATATGTTGTGCGGTGGGAAGAAACCGTGAAGTAGTGGCCTCAATATTTATACATACAGAATACGTAGTACTGATGGTCTTGTGGGGTCCAGTGTGTATTGTACTCGTATTTATCACAGAGTGCACGTACATACGTACGTACATTTTTTAGCGGTGTGAGATTGCCGATTGCGTTGGGACTCCAACTTAAAAATATTTGCATAATTGCATATATAAATATTTCGTGGGAGCCGGACTTGTGAGCTGTGACTACTTTTGTGCTCATATCTTTTTTTTCTCTCCCCACTTCTTTCTTTATTCTTTCATTTCTTTCGTCTCTCGTGCATTAAGATACAAATACAATCACTATGTACTACGTGGTATTTGATTAGTCCAAATCATTATATCATTTTTAATTTAGATTTAAATAATTCAACTGCATCATCCTGATTGGTCCATGTGTACAAAGGTATGATACCTTAAGGGTACCATAGAATCTACTACCTCCGTCTCACTATATTTGGGACAAAGGGATGTGGCAAAAATTTTAAGAAAAAGTGGAATTGTGTGATTGATATTGAATTGATAAAGTGTGAATAAAGTAAGAATGAATTGTAATCACTCAAACATTATCAAATATGGTATGTGACAAACTTAATGGAATGGACGGAAAAGGTAAAACGAGACAAAGTTATGGTGACGGAAGGAGTAGTACTTTTTATTGCATTTTCGCTCACCTATGAGCAAAATTAAAAGTGATGTCTTGCGGAAATGGTCTTGACTCTTGAACTTTGTGTTAGCTTCAATAATTGTGCTACTTTCTCACCGGCAGGGATGGATGTAGGTGGCGCCGGAGCGACGATCCTTTTGAAGTTTTAATATTTTCTATTATATGTTCTATAATATGTATATAATATTTTTTATAAAATATTTTTATTTTAATTAGATACATGTGTGTGTTCAATTTGACCTACATAATATAATACTCCGTACTTAATAGGATATTTTAAAGAATAAACATCTAAAATAATTTATCATTAATTAAAATAGGCTAAAGGGTCAAATAGGCCCTTGAACTGACTTAAAGTGTTCAATTAGCCCCTTATATAGGAGGTTCTGCCCGGCCGTCGCTAATTGGGGTGGTTCCCGATGGAATTTTTTGATGATATTTTTTCAACATATTCTTCATTAAGTCTAGTTTACCCATACCAAATTTCAGCTAAAAATTCAATCAGAAAGACAGTGAAATGATTTTCCGAAATGTATTGTACTGTTTAACTTTGCAGTTATCTTCAAAAAATCATTTAACTACCTTCCCGGTTGAATTTTTAGCTGAAATTTGGTATGAGTAAACTAGACTTAATGAAGAAGATGCTCAAAAAATTTCATCAAAAAATTCCACCGGGAACCGCTCCAATTGGCGACGGCCGAGCAGAACCTCCTATATAAGGGCCTAATTGTTCTTATATTGTTCTAAAATATAAGAACAAAACATTTTTAAAACTTAGGATACTTATTATATAGAAATTCCTAATTTGTAATGTTTAATTATCTTTATTAGATAATTAGTGCCCAATTTTATAAAATATCAAACAATATTAAACATCAATCACACTAGTTAAACAAATTTACATCATGATAATATGAGGAATTACAAAGTCTGGCGTCAGTTTCTACCTAAGTCTGGTGCTGGGGATAGCTTGGTCATCCGAAGAGAGAGAACTGTTGGAAAAATGTGTGAAAAATTGCATTAAATGGCTATTTTGGGGCAATTTTTTGAGTGGGGTCCACTTCCGATTTGGGTCGGGTCAAAGTGGTTTCGGATTGTCCTTGTTAAGGGCTACAATTCGATATATGGTACGCTCAAAACGGATAACGGGTGAATGAGAAATCGCTTTTCGAAGTTGACCCGTTAGAATGGAAAAACTGGGAAAAAGGATGGGTTTCTAGTGCGTTAATTTCCCACACCGGAAAACCCAAGGGATTTGCAACCCTTTATAAAGGGACTCCCCCTCTTAAGGAGTTAAGATTCCTTAGGGTAGAGGCTCTCTCCACGCGCGCAGGGGGGGGGGTGCAAATCAAATCCCGAATTCGGAGAAGAAAAACCGCGACTTGCGTGCGCGGGCGACCTGCGGACACGAATGTCGTCCAAAAATCTATCTCTCAAGAGATACGATTAATTTTTGTTTTCTTCCCGAAACGTTTAATTTTTTCCCAGCGGCAGAAGTGCTCGGACAGAAGGCTACGGATCAGAACACCTCGTTGGTGTTCTGATGGCAGAACCCCTCATGGGGTATTCTGATGGCCGCCCACCAGAGATGGGGTATTCTGATGGCCGCCCATCAGAGTTCGGGGTACTCTGATGGCCGCGGATCAGAGTTGGGGTCTTCTGATTGGCCTCCGATCAGAACCCCTCCCGGGGAGTTCTGATGGAGGTCTTCTGTCGCGCTTCTGAAACGTTACAACAATTAATGCCCAACGTTTATATCTTTTAATGCAGCGTTAAATGGACAGTTCATGGACGATTCAATGCCCAACGGACTGGTCATTGATGTCCAACGTTCAGGTCCATTAATTCACTATTTTCACACAACAAATCCTCCTATATAATGGCTGGCAGGTGGTTTGCAACAACACACGTTCTTACACGATTTTACACGAATCCATACACGTTTTAGCTCTAAAAACACACTGCTAGCACTCTGAAAATTTCCTTAGTGTTCAGACTTGTTCTCGTTCGCTGGAACTTTTGTTTGTGTGCTCAAACATTAGTTCGTAGTCATCGTATCCTGGGAAACGATTGTTGCAACGCTCCTAGCACCGTGGGAGGCAACAAATACGTTTTAAGGACATCGTGCGTAGCACGAGCTTTGACAAATTTCTGCTCCATCTCCTTTCTTGTTTTCTTTGTCATTTTAAATAACTTATTTTAATTAATTTTTCTTTATTTTCCGAAACACACCCAACAAGAACTTCTCACGAAATCACTAGAAAAAACGTCTGAAGAGGTAGAACTTCTCTACAAGTTATCACTGGATGTGAAAAACATTTATTGCTAGAAAGAATTCTTCTAACTAATTCTAACTAAGTCTGTCAATTCAAATCAAAAGAAATTTTGAGTATCGAGAGATGCTTTTGTTATTCCCAATAATACAGCTCTATAATAAATAGGTTGAAGTAGTTAAATTTGATGAGTTATGGATAAATTATACGGAATATTTAAGAATTAAGATGTATTATTTTAATAAAATATTGAAAAAAACTAATCATTTAGAACTTTAACTTATTTGCGAAACATAATATGTACGCAAAGGCAGCACGTGGGTGCAAAATTGAATGAGATGCACTCTTCGATGAGGGCCTTGTCGGGGCATTCAAAGTCTCAAGCAAATTTCGATTTTATTAGGATCTTTCAAAGCGTACCAAAATTTTGATAGCATAGCAATGTCACACTGCCAGTGTGACATTCGTCGTTCATTGCACGTATCACTTAAGTCAAGATCACTGATCACAGTCCAAGTACTTGTACCAATTTAAATGCACCGTTTCCTTTTTCTTTTACAAAATCACAATATAATGTTAATCTTCCAAATATAATTTTGTGCTAGAGAGGGTGTCGAATGATCTGGTTTTACAAATGTTATTTGTTGTACAATTGATTATTTCATTTTGCAGACTTAAGAGCTTGAGATTAAAGGAATACCTATGTACATGTTTTTAACTTGGAATATAATAGATTTATGAATTTATCGCCCAAAGAGAGCTTAGACAAAACTTATCAATGGGAAATTGAGGTTTGCAACCTAGGAGGGAGGGAGTACTTTTAAAATCGAGCAATGGGAAATTGAAGTTTGCAACCTAGGAGGCCCGTCCACTTCTAGTCAACTTGACCGATTCCGGTGTACAAATCGGTTCCGACCCGATTCCCAACCAGTATGGATCCTATTTTTCTAGTTTCATATTTTTCTAGTTTAATAATTACATAAATATGACTAAAGTAAAGATGATTTACAAAAATATGATTAGTTACTAGACTAGTAATGAAATCATTGTAATTCATGTTCAAGTTTTGAAATTAAGTTACTACAATACTACGTTGTAGTAATGAATAGTCATATTTACGTAAATAGGTTTTATATTAGTAATATTCTTGTAAAAACTCATGTACCCACTCTTATACCCACCTTATATACACCATGTTTGTGAATGTTTTTTTTTGTTTGTGAACCTGATTCACAGACAATATCACAGTGCAAAAAAATACTTCACAAACATAGGTGGGTACAAAAGTGGGTATAAGAGTGAGTACAAAGATCATCTTTGAATAAAATTACCATAGTACAAATGGTACATGGATTAAGATAGTGAATATTGTGTGGTGGAAAGTTGTGCATAGGTGAGAGAAATATATAAAAAAATATTGTAAACCACAAATTCTTAACCAAAAAAAAAAGAAAATTTAATTGGGATTGATGAAACAAAATTGGCAGTTTATTTAGGGACGGAGGAAGTAAGGATGTTTTTACTTGGACTGTTTTCAGTCTCACATCAGACCAGATTAGATCAGACCAGACAAGATTAGACCAGACTTGGACAGTTATAAAATAAACAGATCAGACATTTACCAGACTAGATCAGACCAGAAAATTTCAGTTCAAGTAAAAACATCATAATCCATTTTGTTGAGGGAAGGAATAATATTTCAATTAATTTTTCGATTGTACTACGTTTTAATAATATGTTATGTGTACGGATAATTTATATAAAAAAAAAAGGATGCCACATCATCACTTAGGGCCCCCCCAATACAACCTGGACAGCTACCTGGGAGTATGTAAATTAGGATGTTAATTGAGCTGGGAGGTTAATAATTTAAGTTGGGACCTCTCCCTTGTGACACTCCCTTCCTACCGGGTGAGCTACGCCCGGTGTGTACGGATAATTTATAAATATTATCATGAGTGACTAGGAAAGCCATCTGGCAAAAAAAAACTAGGAAAGCCAAATGTCCAAGACTACAAATAAGTACGGTC